ATGATTTTGAGCAGAAGCAAACAACATGAGTGGTGACTGGCTCTCCAGGGAACACTGTCCTGGCACCCAATCACCTCTGAGCTCCCCCAGCCTCTCAGGGGGGCCAATTTCAAACTATGACAGTTGGGAATATGTGGAAGGTAATTTCTGAACAAACAAGTTAGCAAGCATGAACTACCTAGTTTGACTGTTCATGCTTTTCCTTGTCATAGCATATAGTTCACAGAAACCTGGGACATGGGCACATCTGTCCATTGTCCCCACTCAAAGAATGCCAGTGTTAAAGCTGTGTATCACAGACTGCTGGGGACAGCTACAAAAAAAGCATTCCCTTGTTGAGCAGTAGCAGTTTGATTCAGTAAAATTACTGGTGACCAGGGCTAATTTCTATATGCAAGGAGATGCTGAAAAGCCATATATTGCTTGAAAACTATGAGGATGTTAGTCCAAAATCACCACTAGCAGTGGAGAATAGATTCTAGTACACAAAATTAGCCATATTATTTGTTCCACCTGGTCACAAGTTCCAGACTAGCTTCTGTTGGTGTTCAGTCTGGCAAGAGCCTCCAGTAGTAAGGAATCTGCTAGAGAGACCAAAAAAGGCCAATGTGGTTGTACAGTATGTATGAATAACTGCTGTGTGAAAATACTATTCTGTATATTCGTCATCTGCTTCTGAAAAAAAAGGAAAAAAAGAAGTGTCTCTGTGAGACTGAAATGCACAGATGTCTGAATGAAATGGTTGTTTTACACATTCATTGGTTTCCCAACACAGTTTACCATGTCTGTACAAACATTTGGGCTGTCCCACTGCATAGGTGGTTGGAGACTGAAATAATCAGTTGGAAGCAAGGGATGCTCTCTGTACCAGTTCTGCTGTATCAGAATATGGCCTCAGAGAATGAACCTAGCAGTAAAGTATCCTTCCCTTCCTTTCTGTTAATATTATGTAAGGAATTGAATACTGTGGAAGGATTTGTCTCATCTGTAATTCACATTTTGTACAAGTGGGGGGGAATCTAATTTTAACTAGGGATCCTTTTCAAGGCTTTATATCAATTCTAGGTAAGTTGCTAGGATCTTGAGTACAGGATTTATAATCTTTGTTGACAGAAAACATGAAATGAGCTTTTAGAAAGTAAGAACATTTAAGTTCTTTTGTTTTCATTTTCATGTCTTAGAAGTGATATTTTCAAAGTCTTTTCTACAATGAACAGGATTAAAAACCTGCTTTAAACAAGACATGCTTCAGATTTTGTCACAAAGATATGATTTCAAGAGCTTTAAGAGACACAGACACAGAATACAATGAATCTCATTAAGAAGAAAATTGTGAAAGTTTGGCTTTGTGCATTTTGTCAAGCTTCCAACATCACTTAGACAAACTGATTCTAACCCGTGTTAGAAGGGCAGATGCACACGCAGTGAGCTCTCGCTTCCTTACCATACCTGCTCAAGACCTGGGCAGGTTTCCAGGTCCTGATGTTTACTGAGAACAGCTCCCTCCCTGTGCTTTTTGGGTGATGCACAACTGTGTCAAACAAGAGAAGGAGGAAAGGGAGTTAGGATCTTACCTGTGGGCATGCAAGCACTACCAAGCAATGTGGGGATAACCAGCCCATACAGAGACACATCCCATGCACGTGCTTTGTCCATCTGCCTCAGCAGGACTCCTTTCTTGCTGAAACAGAATCATTGCCTTCTTGAGAAGGACAGTAAAGATCCTAAAGACTCCTTTGTGAGCTGCATGTGCCCAGAAGGTATGGTTATGGCAAGTCTCTCTCACCAAAACCTTTAGAATATAACACTTACAATGAAAATGGTTTACTTTTCAGTTACCTAGAAACCACTGTCTGGACATCACAAAACTCTGTATTAGACTGTAATTAGATATATTTCACAACATCCCCACGAGGGAAATCACTAATTACAGCAGTTTGCTGAAATTAAGATAAGTATAGTCATGGTTGGTAGTGACTATGATATTATTGCAATCTTGTACTTCAGGCTATGATTGTACCAAATCTCAGAAGCCAAGAGGGTTGGATCTGACTGGCATATGAATAAAGAGTGAAGAACTGAACTAGGCATTTGTAATTTCTTAAGAAGTCATGTTCTCATAAATCACGAGTCATATTAATTTGCTCAGGAATAATTATTCTGGGACTTTGATGCCAGGAAACACCCTGGAACATGAGAGGTTCTGTTGTGTCAGAGAGATAAAACCTGTGGCCTCTCCTGATCAGCTGTAGTGATCTAAAAATCCTATATGTCTATGGGACGGATAATTTTGCAAGACAAGTATATTAGTCATAGCAGCATGGGAAAATCCTAACTCAGAAACTTGTATTTGCCTTGCATCTTCTCATTAGAAATGTAAAAGTACCTTTTTGTCTTGCATTTAAATACTTTTGTGAAGCATTACTGGCATCAATGGTATTTGTATTGTAGAGCTGAGTGCATCTCAGAAGGGAAAGAAGTCTCTTTACACACACAGACTATAAAAAGTTCTGTGTTACAGCAGGTAATCCATTAGTTAATGTGAGGTAACAATATTCTGGTAATGTAGTTTTACGTTTTGTGAAGATTAATTAAATGGTATTTTAGCTTTTAACAAAAATGTATCAAATGTTATTTTTTATTCCTTCTATCAACTTTTTTTTTAATGGATACACAGAAAGGGGAGCCTGGTTGCGAAAAGACTGCAGAACTTTGCTAATCTGTATGAAATACACAGGGATCTAGGAGGACTGTTAGACTTCCAGAGAGTGAGCTAGAAGAGGTGAGAGTGTATTAGAGTCTGCATTTGCAAACTGTCTCAAACTGTCCTAGCTGGACACACCATGGAAAGAGCTGGTGCACAGAAGATTCAATGAAAGAGCAGGATCTAGCCAGCCAGTGCCCAAGAAACCCAGATAAATGGTTCATAACGCAAATCCACTTTGTAACTGAGATGTAAAACTGTACTTGGTGGTGGTGTGGGTAGCGCTTGCTGAGCTGTTAACTTGAATTGCAGCTCCAAAACCTCAGCAGCCTTCACATCTGCCCAGGCATACACTTTCACAGTATAGCTGACACCAAAAAGGGTGTTGGTCACCTCTCTTCCTTAGCAACCATTTCTGAGCAATTAGTCTCACTTCCTCCTTTCTGCTGTCCGCAGGGCCCTGAGCTGGGCAAGCCTTTCAGCCTGCTCAACTAAATGCAAAAGTAGCATTTCTCTGCTACTTTTCCCTGGCTTCTCTTCTCTTCTTCTGCTCCTACAGCAGGAATGCCATCCTTTGTTTAACATAAAATGGCTCTAAAGTTTTGTTAGTGGGTATGTATTGGGTGTAGTTGGCTAGGTGCCGGCAGTGGTGGGCTGCAGGGGTGGTCTCTTTGAGGAAACGGGGCTGCCCCATGCTGGACACAGCCACTTCCAGACAGCTCAAACAGACCCATTGTGGGGCATGGCTGAGCCCCCAGCACCTCTGGGAAAACATATTATGGAAGGGCAAACCCACTACATAGGAGTGAGAGAGAGAGGAGTGAGGGGGGAAAATGTGAGGAATAGCAGTGGGAACAGCAAGGTTGGAGAAGAAGGAGGGGATGGAGGTGCTGCAGGTGCTGGAGCAAGGATTTCGCATGGAAAGGACTACAGTGGAGCGGATATCCACACTGCAGCCCTTAGAGGACCCCAAAATGGAGCAGACAGATATTTTCTGAAGGAACTGCAGCCCATGAAGAGCTCATGCCAGAGTAGTTCTTGAGGACTATAGCCTGTGGAAGAACCCACACTAGAGCCAAGTGTGGAGAAGGAGGAGCAAAGAGGAACTATTAAGGACTGGCTGCAGCCCTCATTCTACAATTCCTCTGCACTGCTTGGGGCATGGTGGTGCACGGGTAGAGGAGTTGCAAATGGAGGGGTGAAAGTGGTAGGGTGGTGGAAAGGTTTTGTTTTCATTTAGTATTTGTTTCTCACCATTCAACTCTATTTTTAATTGGCAAAAAAAAAAGTTAATTTCACAAGTCAATTTTGTGTGTGACAGTAAACGGCGAATGATCTCCCTGTCTTGACCGATGAGCTTTTCCAGTCGTTCTCTCCCTGCCCTGTTGAGGAGAGACGGTGAGTGAATATCCGGGAAGGCAGCTGACAGCTGGCCAATGTCAACCCCCCACTTGGTAACAAAGCATCAGAGACAATTTTGAAGTCTTTCCTCTCAACTGCAAGAATCAAATCTGTAAAATCTTGGGGAAAATGTTTTTGAATGGTTGGACGGTCTGACAAAAAATTTTGTGTTTTTTACCTCTGGGGGAAAAAACGAACCGAACCAAATCAAGCAACAATCTCACAAACCCCAACCCACATAGGAAGCCCGACTATTTGCAAAGGAATGCACAAAGCTGCAGGACGCTGGCGGTTTTCGTGCTGCCACTGCTGCTCTTGAACACTTGCAAGAAGCCGGGAAAGCCGGGTTTTCCGGGGCAGCCCTCTCAGCAGGGCGAGCACGGCGGTGTCACGCGTGCCGAGGGGCCCAGGCCCCGCACCCACAGAACGCGCCGTGACGAAAGGTCAGTCCGGTTGAATTTAAAACCCGCAACGGACATTTTGCCTCCGACTTCCACAGATGAACCCGCGCACGGCTCCGGGCGGGACACGAGTTCCACCCTGGTAGGGCGGAGGGTTCACGAGCAGTCCTCGGACTCGGACTCGCTCCAGCGGGACTGGCGCGGGAGAACCCTCCACGGGGCGAGGGAGCGATGGTAGTCACTGGACAAACACGTTTTCCCGCTTCCCCCCGGTCCCCTCATGCCCGGGTGCCTCTGGCGGCGCCTCTCCCGCTGTCAGGCACCGCTGTCCAGGCGTCTCCCCAGGCCTGCGGTGATGGCTGGAGCGGGACGGGGCGGGGACAGGGAAGGGGAAGGCGGGGGGAAATGTCGCGGTCGCTACGGGAGACGGGGGAAAACCGGAAGCCGGCGGGGCGGGGCGGCGCGGCGCTGGCGGGCGCTCCCCATCTCCTGGACGCTCCCCGTCTGCCAGCCTCTCCCCTCCGGGCGGCGGCAGTGCCAGCGCCATGGGGTGTTTCTTCTCCCGCCGCAGGAAGCCGGCCCAGGGCGGCCAGCAGCAGCAAGCGGGAGCCGGCCAGGACGCGGCGGCCGGCGAGGAGAAGGCGCCTCAGTACAGCTGGGACCAGCGAGCCAAGGTACCCCCCTGGCCGGTGCCGCCCGGCCGCGGGCAGGACAGGGCTGGGGGTACGGGCTGTCTCGGCGCCCTCCCCTGCCACCTGGGGTTTGCGGGGCTGTGGCCGGGGCAGGGCCCCGCTCGCCACGGGGGCAGCGGGAGTCTTCTCCGGTCCCGCTGTCACAGCTCGGTCCGCGCAGTTCAGCGCGATTATTGAAACAACAACAAAGTATTTAGCCTAAGGATTTTACCAGGCAGTCTCAGACCGTGCAAGCGGGCGCTGGATCCCGCGGCTGCCGCCGGTGCATCGGTCCCCGGTGCCGCTGTGTCCCGGTGCGGCTGCCGCTGCCTCCCGGTGGGACAGCGCCCTGTGGGCGGAAAGTTCGGCTGTGACAGTCCCCACGGGTAGCGAGAGGGTGTCTGCCTGCCGTCGGGATTTCTGATACAGTGTGGGGTCCCCTGGGTGTGTGCGTCACACGAGCAAACTGGGATTATTGGCAGCTGGCAGGGGAGCTGCTTATTCCTGGGCGAGCTGGAGTCTCCACACCTGGCATTTCAGTGGAGGCATAATGCGTGCGTTGTGTCCTGACTGTCAGTATTGATTCTTCCTGTTTGTCTGTTTGCACTCCTTTGGTGGTGGTTTTTTTTTTTTTTTTTTTTTTATTTTAAAGCTAGAGGAAGTAGAACTAGCTTATCAGTCTCTAAAATGATGGATGAAGACAAATCCTTCCCAGTGCTGCTTCCTGAGCTGCTGAAGGCAATCCTAAAGTCTCAAGCAGGAAAGTGTTTAGATGCTGGATTGAATGTGTTTCTTCCTAGCCTCATTTCAACTTTCACTTCCTAGATATATCATGACATCACAGCCCTGCTAGGCCTCTCCTCCTCTCTTCTGCAGCTGCTTTCGGGTGGAGGAAGGAGAAACTGGAGCAGGCCATAAACTTAATTGATGTGGTTTTAACAAACAAAATCCCCAAAGCTTTAGGTCATATTTTACAGGTATGAAAAAGAAAATGTGTGAACTTATTTGAATGTTTAGCTTGCTTGTTTTTTAAACTTGGCCAGGTGCTCTAGGGTGTCTCTTAAGTCTTCCAAGTAGGTTAAGACAAGCTCAGATGGAGATGAGCTAGAGAGCATGTGTGTGGCCCGAAGGAATCAGTTCCTTGAGGATAAAGATGAGTGATCTGTGTTGGTCTTGTTGCTTTGACTGGATATGGATATTTACAATGCAGAGAGAGAAAGGGAGGATGGCAGCCTGTCACTTATATGGAGCCTATTCTCAGAGGGAGAGGGCTGTACTGAAACCATAATTTAGAGTGGCAGAACAAATTTTAGTCTGTCTAAAAGTGAATTACTGAATCAGCACTTGGAATAATATTTTTTAGTTTTAGAGTAAACTCATCAGCTAAAGCTCAACAGGTATGAGACTTTTTACCCAGTCTACTTATATGGCACTAACTTTGAAAACTAAAAGGAGGAAAGTCAGGATATAGAAAGACTTGATTCAGAGAATAGCCAGCCTTGTTGCTAAGGAGGTGACTGTTTTTAAGGTGCTGGAAGTAGGCTCAAGCTAATAGACGAGGCTATTACAGCATCAACAATCTATCTCTCTGGAGTAAAAAAAAGTGTGTCGTTTTGTGTGTAAAACTTCTTCCTTTTCTATAAAAGTCTCTTAGAAACCAGAAGAATCAGTGAGTTTGGGCTGTGCTAATGAACTGTGTAAGCCATCAAATTAGGCGCTTAATTTTGTACTGTACAGCCTAAGAATGGCTATTTAATGTTTAAGACCATTTCTTGCTCTTTGCAGCCTTATCTTTCACTGGGCTTTTTTAGTATATGCTTAATACATTAAACTAGGAAAGCATTAGAGTCACTTCATCTTAGGTAAAGGAATACTGAGCATTTGGTACACTAAACTTGTTGATTCCAGTTTGTACTGAGTGAGACTAAGTGAGCATTAATGCAGTAGCTTTAAGTGTTGTCTCTGATACCTTATCCTGTTGTCTGTTGTTTTCTCATTTCTGATGCATCACATATACTTACTTATTTTACAATGTGTGTTTGTACACAAAGTTAAATTGAAGTCAGTTGGAAAACTTGTGGCATGAAGACTCCTTCCTGTTCATCGAGTCCATTGAATTGTATTCTGAAGCCCGAAAACCTCAACTCTGAAAACGGATGTGCTAAGTGGTCTTTTGATGTTAATTTCCACCATTTGGGTTGGGGATGTGTTTCTGATTTTAGGCTTTCTTACTCAGTGATGCAATTCTGGTTATATAGTGCAGTTTTGCAAGCAGGTTTGGTAATTGTCTGTAGTTCTTGTAAACTATCCTCTGTATCTTCTTACAGGTGGGTACATCTTGCTGCTCAGACACTCCAGCTGTCTTCCTGTAAACTAATGCCATTCTGACATTCTCACTGTAGGCAGAAAAATGTAGACACACTTGTGTGCATGTTTGTCTGATTAGGGATGTGGAGAGAGGTGACTGCTAGTGACAGCTGTGCTGGAAGAAGCTCTGAAACGGAGGGGTTCCTCCAATGAAACTATTTCTTCTGCTTCTATTTCTTCTTCTTCCACTTCTCAACACCATCGCTAGTTGAGTCTATTTTAATTATGTTCTGATGGCAAAATATAATTACTATTGATACTGTCTGCTGGTGTAGACCTAGGCAAAGAGTAATATGATGATATCCTAGGGCCCATATAACTCTTGTGTAATAGCCCCAAAAATGGACCACGTGGTAGAAAACTCTAAATAGAAAACATTATAAAATTCTGATAGTTGAACTGAAATTAAGGAAAGTATATGAATTTGAGGGGCCTTTTCAGTTTTCTGCATGAATTTATTAAGTGAGGACAGAAGTTTTAAGGTATGCAAAAATTAATCAAATTTAGATTGCATTGTAAATCTGCTAGAAACTCTGTAATGCTTGCTAACCCTTAGGTTTGGAGAACTGTGTGAAGATTACTTGTGGTGCAGTAGAAGAACCAAAGGATCAGTTTGTCTTGAAAACAGAAGGGAAAAGGATGAATATTCAGTTTCTTGGTGCTCTAGGATTCTTAGTCCATGAGAATAAGTAGAGCATGATTTATTCCAGTTTGTTATTACTGCATCAAATCCTGAGGACTTGTTAGGTCTTGTTGTGTCTTTGGGCCATCATGAGAGTCCCCTTCTGACCAAATGTGGGAGAGGAACTTGGTGATGCTCAGCTCGTCTCAGCCTTCTTCAGCTAGGTTTTCACCTGGAAGATAACACTATGTTTCTGCTCCTGGTCTCCCTTTTCCTTTCCTACCTTACTGCCTTCTGTATGACTAACATTGTTTACATGTGTGACCAGAGCAATAACTTCAGCAGTAACTGAATATGGGTATGTACAGACAGGAACTCGGATTTTGTGTCTTGTGATGGCAGATACGCTCATGTGCTGTGACCTTCTCCGCACAAGAAGAAACGCGAATAGCTGCATCATCTTTTTTGCAGTTGTCTCATGTTTGAAGAAGTAGGATTAGAATAATTATTACCATAATGGCATTTAGAGCTTAGAGGGACTTTCCTTCCCAGATGATTTTTCCTTTTAGAAGGAACAAGTAAAGTTTTGTGTTATGTCATCTGAGTTGTAACTTAACTGCTTTAGTTGATAGGAAACATGCAGCGATCATTGTTATATCGCGCTGTGATGACCATACTCAAATGGTTTAAAAAACTCAGAGGTTTAACCTTCTACATAAATTATAGATAGTTTTTTCTTAGTTACCTTACATTTGAAGATCCTTCAAGAGTGGTCTGAGCTGATTTGGACATGTTGAACTGTCTAGATATTGTTTAGGTAGTCACTTTGTATTTTATTTTGGAATATGAGTAAAATAACTTTTTTTTTCTTTAACTAAGTGGTGAAATATTCTGTCCTTAAATCCAGTTCCTGGTGCACCAGAAGAACTACCACAGTATTTCTCAAAACGTAGTTGATCAACTGAGAAACAGTCAGCAGGTTCATATTAACAATATTTCCAGTTAAGTCAGGTATAGGCATGTAATAGCTTCCTTTCTTCTTCCTCTTGTCCTGTCTGTAGTATTTGGCAATGGTTTGCTGCTCAGAAAAGTATGACCATTTTATGCTATTATGGGTAGTCTGGAAGAGCAGGAAGATTACCAAGAATAGAATGAAATGTGGATTCAGACTCTTATATTGGCCAAATTTAAAGTCAAGGTGTGCAGGAGATGCTCCAAGATGAGAAACTGTATGCTAATGACTGGAACCTGCACTACTCTTTCCACCTTGTCTTGTTATGCACAAATCTCGAAATCTGCTGGAGGGTAACTTCAACAAGCAGTCTCCAGAGGATGTTGCAACTCACTACTTCAAGGCACCAAACCCATGCAAGTATGAATTTGCAGAAGTGTCTAGGCCTGGGAATGCACTTTTCTTTCTTATTTCCTTTCTGTTAATTCCCCTGCTGACAAAAATAACATTTAAAGCTTCTTAAGTTTGTGTGCCTGCCCTATAGCTGCAGCTTTTAATGTCACTGGGTCAGCAGCCAACTCTTGTATGTTATCATCTGTATATAAGTTCATAACTGAACTGCCATCTGTTGTGACTTAGAGAGATAGGGAACAATTTTTTGAGAATTATATTTTAAAGGGAAGACCTTAGTGTAAGTGGTTTAGAAATACTTCACAAACTATTGTTTGCTCATCAACCTAGACACAGGTAACTAGGGGAGAACTGTAAACTGTTAAGAACAGCAGTACCTTCTCGTATTTGTGGAGGTGTATCATTCTTGACTGAAACTCCTTTCCTGATGGACCCTGTGAAAAAGCCTTGTTAAAACAGGAACTCATACCAGAAAGAGTTCAAGATGTTGGGATCCTTGGTGATTCCAGGCACAGTTACCACCAAAAACTCTGAAGGTCTAGTACTCCCAAGTCTTCTTCCCAATGGCAGCTGCCTAGTTTTGATGCCAGTAAACTGGATGATGGTTGCTGAAGAGATATATGTCATGTGCAGCTTTCACGTCTAGTCTCTGACCTTCTTGCAAGGCAAGTGTTTGCAGGAAGGAAAGCTGCCTAATACGCCTTGCACTTGTTGCAACAGGGTGTCCTAGATTTCAAAACAACCATGACAAACTCTTGTTTGCTCTCACTTCTCTCCTTTCTTTATTCTTAAAATCCTTGCTCCTTAGGATTTTTCCTCTAGTCCTTTGTAACAGACTTCTCACCATTGTTATTGCTGATAACCAAAAATGAGACTTCTGTACCTGTTTTGAGAGGGAAGAATATTTGTGTAAGCGGGGCTTTTTCATCATCATATGTGGTTATTCTGTGGAGTAATTTCGGAACCTGTGCATAATCACTTCTGTTAGAAGGTTTCAACTCCTGAGCATGCAGGACAACTCCTGCATGTCTGTAAATGTATGGTTCTTACCTACTCCAAAAACTCTTTACATTCATCTGAAAGCATTAAAAGATGCCTCTGTGAATCCTGTCATCCTTTGAACTTATACCAGCCTGGGGGGAAAAAAAGGCATTTAAAAATCTGTTAAGGGCTGGAGAGTAAAGCATCTGTCTGGGTGAGATGGGTGAATTTGGACAGAGTTTTTTGAAACTTTATCCAAATACAAAGGACAAATAGATGAGTTATCAAATAGTTGATTTTTGCTGACCTGCCAACTGCTTAAGATTTTATAGCCAATGATGCACCAGATGAATGGGTAGAGAAATTAACATAGCCCTGGTTATGGTTACATGAGACTGCAGATGTTACCTTTTTATGGTGGTGTTTTTTGTTTGTTTGTTTGTGGGTTTTGTTTGGTTTGTTGTTGGGTTTTTTTTTTGTTTTGTTTTGTTTTGGTTTTTTTTGCTATGTTGCTAAGATAAAGCTTAAGAAGCATATAGGGTTGACCATCAGGATAAAGAAGGTGGTTGCAGTGATTTAATATTAACCTGTCGATGATACCTGAAGACTTTAGAGATGGTGAGCATGAACTAAGAAGGCCAGTGGCATCCTGGCTCGTATCAAAAATGGTTTGGCCAGCTGGACTAGGCCATGAGCTGTACTTGGCACTGGTGAGGCCGCATCTCGAATCCTGTGTCCAGTTCTGGGCCCCTCACTTCAAGAAAGACTCTGAGGTGCTGGAGCGTGTCCAGAGAAGGACAACAGAGCTGGTAAATGGTCTGGAGCACAAGTCTGATGAGGATCAGCCAAAGGAGCTGATGTTGTTCAGGCTGGAGAAAAGGAGGCTCAGGGGGGACCTTATCGCTCTCTACAACTACCTGAAAGGAGGTTGTAACCAGGTGGGACTCAGTCTCTTTTTCCAAGTAGCAAGTGATAGGACAAGAGGAAAAGGTCTCAAGTTGCTCCAGGGGTGGTTTAGATTGAACACTGGGAAAAATTTCTTCATAGTAAGAATTGTCAAGCTCTGGAACAGACATCCTGGGGAAGTGGTAGAGTCGCCATCCCTGGAGGTATTTAAAAGATGTGTAGATGTGGATTTGTTTAGTGATGGACTCAGCAGTGTTAGGCTAATGGTTGAGTTTGATGGACTTAGAGGTCTTTTCCAATCTAAACAATTTTATAATTCTATGAACATGTTAACAACTGTTGGATGCATCCTCAGAATCATAGTTCTGCCTTTATGCCTCTTTCTCTGGCATATTTCTTTTACCCAGGGGAAGTGATATATTCATATCTGCTACAGTCTATTGGGTTACCCCCTTATCTCAGGGGCAATAACCCAGTGAGGGGGGAGAGTGTTAAATCTATTTCGTCAGGTTTCACCTATCATTCAAGTTGTGTCAGGGCAGAACTCTTAATTCATGTCAGGGTAATAAAATGAAGCTCCTGAATCTGATAATAAACTGAAATTTTATCTTTAACTTTCTTTCTCAAAAACTCTCATTTGAAACTGTCTGTAAGCTGTGAGTTTGTTGACTAACCAGTGTTTTTCGCCTAGACCTAAATAAAAATGCAAAGTGAAGGTGAAGTTTCACATATATCTGCAAAGGCTACTGGAAGGTAAACATATGTAAGTATTCTTCCCAAGAGTGCCAAGGCAGTGGAAGGATTAAAAAAAGGTTTATTTCAGATGCAAGGACCACTTTTTTTTTTGTGATGCTGCATGCATCGGGCCCCAGGGGCAAAAGGCAAGTTCCCACCCCCTCAGGGGCCTTTTTATTCTCTCTCTTTCTCCCGACGTTCCCAAGGCCTCGGTGTATCTCTGTGAGGGCTATCTCTCTCTTCTCACATACCAGAGAGCAAGGTTGAGAACTTGTCTTGCTCTTCGGGGTGGGGGAAGCATTGAAACTGCCTTTGAGAAAGAGTTACCATTTAGGCAGAAAGCCTTCCTAGCAAAAACCGAGTTCTATCTTTCTGTTACAAATTCTTCTGGAAATGTATCTATTCCTACGTGGCTGTATAGGATGAGCTGGTGCTGCTTCAGAGGCTTTGTGGAGCAAAGCAATTTAGAAGGACATGCTTAGGTTCCAAATTTCAAAAAAAGCTGTAAGCTCTGGAAACACTGAACTTCTCCTTCTGAAGAGAAGGAACTGTTCCTCTGTGCCTTGTTTTGAAGGCAGTAAGCCTGTCTCCAAGGGTAATTTAAAAAAATCTCCAGCATACAGACATACACAAACGTACATAAATGTTCTAGGAGTTGTCTGGGAAGAAGGTATCCAAAACCAATTTTGATACTTGTATTCTCAGGTATGAGAGAATATGAATGTAAATATCTTGTATGTGGATCAAATATGTAACATTACATGAGGCTAAAGACCTTGGAGAGTTTGAATCCTAAGCATACGGTATGACTGAGTCTCCATGTTGTGTCTCCCAATTTTATTTGTAACTCTTCCAACTAACTTTCCTAGATGTGTACTAGTGAGGAGAGAATTCTAGGAAGCTATCTTCATTGTCTCAACTTCCATTTTATTTGGAAGATTGATCAGCTGAAAATCTCCTTTCCTGTCTGGATGTCAGATGTGTTGTGTACAAGGAAGTACATTTTATCAGGTGGTAGACACTTCTAGCTTCCTTTAGCTGCTCTGGCCAAAAGCTATGTAGGCTGAGCTGGTTTAGTGAATGTCTGGCACTAGCCCATCCTGGTTTATGCCTTTTGCTGGTCTCTAAGTATCGTCTGAATGTTTGACATGCTGGGGAGGAGGAGTTTCTTTCACAGAAATTGTTGTAATGCATGATAACCGATTATGGTGCAGCAAACTTTAGGGCCATCAGGCTGATATTCAAATAGCATGTTTGTGGTCTTGTGTCAGGCTCGTTCAGGTACTTGTATACTTCCAAGTGCTATTTTAATAAGCTTTCACAAGAGGGCGGAGTAGAATTTGCTCCAGGAATTGTAATTGTCTGGAGACTTAACGTGTAACTAGAAGTGAACCAGCTCAGATTCCTTCAGTGTTACAATATGGGCTGTATTATTCATGCTTTCCACCTGTATCACATACAATCCTGAGTGCTGTGTGGCTCTTCAGTCACTGCTCCCCAACAGAGTGTCCCAGGGACAGCCACAGCCTCTCTCAAGTGTTCCTCTGTAGCGCGGCAGATGCTGCAGTGTGGAGGAGAAGAGGTCTGTAAACATGCCCCCTGCACCACCACTGCCAATTTTTGCTTCTTGGACATAGCTAAAACAATCTCGTATTTGTTAGCACAAAAATCTTTTCATTGTTAGCACAGGAAAATGCTGTGCTTTAGATAAGCAAACACTCTGTAGTTTGCAAACATAATAGAGGAGATACTGCTTGACAGCAACAATGTTTCCATGTTTCCTTGCAACATGTTGAGGTGTTGTTAAATATGATCAAGAAAGCTACTCAAAAAGGAAATACTGTGTATCCCCAGCTTTATGAATCTGTATGTTGGACAATTTATTTATTACAGTTACTACTCTAAAACCCAGAACCATCATCCTTCTTGAAACAGTTCAGAGTCCATAGAAAAAGCTAGCTCACCCCCCCTTTAATAAAGAAAGGACAAAATTATTTAATTGCTTTGTTTTGTTTTGTTTTGTTTTTTCCCTGGCAAATCTCAGAAGTATAGTTTCAATTCTTTGTTGTTCCTCAGTACAGTGTATTCCAGTAGTTTAGCTAAAAGAGCTACTTCTGATCTTTCATCACTCTTTGAAGAGTCTTCTGGAGTTTGTCCTGCACAATTCAGTCGTACTTCAATTAATGCAAGTCAGTTGTCATTTAGCATTGTCATATTTTCTGTATGTGAAGATTTTAACCTTCTTTTTTTTTTTCTTCCTCCCTCAGATTGACCCCAAAGATTACACTTTTTCCGGACTTAAAAATGAAACTGTGGGTCGACTGCCTGGAAAAGTAGCAGGGCAACAATTTGTCATTCAGGACTGTGAGAACTGCAGTATCTACATATTTGACCATTCTGCTACAATCACTATTGATGACTGTGTAAATTGCCAAATCTTTTTAGGACCAATAAAAGGCAGCGTGTTCTTCCGTGACTGCAAAGATTGTAAATGCATAGTTGCCTGCCAACAGTTTCGCACTCGGGACTGCAGAAAGCTGGAGGTATTCTTGTGCTGTGCCACCCAGCCCATTATTGAGTCCTCCACGGGTATGAAATTTGGATGTTTCCAGTACTATTATCCTGAGCTGGCTTTACAATTTAAAGATGCTGGTCTGAGTATCTTCAATAACACATGGAGCAACATCCATGACTTTACCCCTGTGTCAGGAGAAAACAATTGGGGCCTTTTGCCTGAAACCGCCGTAGTCCAAGATTATGTTCCTCTGCCCAGCTCTGAGGAGCTGAAAGCCGTCAGAATTTCTACTGATGCTACAAAGAGCATAGTACCAATAACTCGAGGGCGGAGACAGAAAAGCAGTGATGAATCATGTTTGGCTGTGTTTTTTGCTGGTGACTACACAACTGCAAACGCCAGGAAGTTAATTGATGAGGTAAGCAACCTTTGTCTTCATTCAGCTTTTTGAATTCTTCATTAAACTTTCCTCTGGACAGCCTTTAATGCTCCCTGAAGGGGAAACACACAGGCTCTGTTTGTTTACTGACCGTACTGATCAACTGCACTGTTTAAAACCTTAAAGTATGATAAGAGACTGAATCTCATTTGATCAGTCAGTTGCTTTACAGCTGACATCCTGTGAGTGGCACCTCTATCCTCTAATAGTTTCAGTATATTTTTCCATCGTGGCACAGCAAAGCAATGTTCTGAAGAAAATGTGTAGTTGGTCAAATGGTGAACTTGGTCAAATCAGTAAGTGATTGACAGTGCTTGTGAAAGGGATGTAGCTGATTAACTTGTTAGCTTACTGCCTTACAAAGTCACAGCTAACAAAAGTCTGTCCTAAAAGTTTTTCTGTGCTAAGAGAGACTCTGAAAAAATAACGTGTTAAAATGTGTCTCCTGTGACATCTAATGTTGTAATTTTTTGTTCTGAAAGAGGCCGTGAGTGTTTGTCATGGCTAGTCAGCTGTCTTCGATTACTTAAATAGCTGGTGTGGTCTTTTTTTTTTTTTCCCCTTCTGTGTGAGGCAGCAGCTTCCAAGCTCGGCTGAGTTTGTACTTTCCTGGGGCTAAAATTTGAGTGTGGCTGGCTGCTTTTAGCACCCTGAAGTGTCAGGGTAGCCATGTAGCCAAGTAACCATGGGCTACAGCATCTGAGAGAGGTATCTGCAAAAGCTGCTGATCACAGTGTTGTATGATTCACTAAACAACTGGTGGAGCTCTTTCCCTTGGGTTTTTAGCTGCAGGGTGTTTCCTTGCCTCCCCTTTGCCCAGTTGGACTTTTGTGGAACTGAGTTACTAACAGCTTCTTGAATGAAGGGAGATAATGATACTTATGGTGGGGTTTTTTTTCTAGAAAAGGAATAGCTACAGTAAAGAGGATAATAGATGTGTTCTCCCATATTAGTAGTTCTATAGGTATTAAAGTTAAGAAGATGCTAAAAGACTAGTTAGTGAGATTCTGTAGAAATCTTACTGCTCTGTAGATTAATGGATGCTTTGGAAGTACAAATGTATTTGCTGCTTTTCCACATGCTTCTAGTTTCATACTAGATTTAGAGTAAAAAGGTATGTGGAGTGTGTGATGTGTGCATGTGTTTTCAAAAATTTGTAACTATTTTTCCAAGATGGAAAGCTTCAACAGTGGATAGATGAGAGGTTGAGCTAATGCTTGACTGAACTATTGCAGACTAATGAGAACTAACTGCTTGATTCCAGATGCTGAATGCTTTTAATTCCCATTAGTTTCAGCTTCTGAGGGATTGTGGGGAAAAACACACAACCCTGAGCCATAATATAAAACAAAACCATTCACATTTATTCCTTTAGGTGCACTAGGGCAGAGGAGAAAATCTGGATGAATGGAATGAAAATAAACAGAAATGTAGAAAAAGAAAATGGTCTTTGAAAAGAGCAGAAAGGGTCCCTTTGCTCTGTGGTTTAATGTGTATGGGAAAACTGGGTATATTCCAGTGTAATCTGGATAATCAAGCTGAACTCTCTGCCTTAGAAGCATTTTTAACATGAATTCTTTCTCTGGTAACAGATGACTGGTAAAGGCTTTCAACTGGTACAAACTAAAGAGGTCTTAATGAAGGCAGAGGATGCGCACAGAGTTTTCCAGCAGCATGCATCAGAATTCATTCCACTGCTTGAAAAAGGTGAGTTTGTGTTGTTTTCTTTCTCCTCTTGATATAGGAATCTATCACCAGAGAGTTCTGGAGAAGAAAGCGATGTGAAGGAGAAATTTGTGTTTCAAAGGCATACTGTAAAACCTGTTGAGATGAGTTCTGGAAGCCTCAGTGAGGCCCTAAACCGGCAAAAACTCCTGAAGGCATCAGAAACGTGTATTTTGTGGCTCTGCTCCCCCTCTAGTGGTCCCACCACATAGCTCTGGAGCACTGGCAATGCAGGTCTGCCTGGAGTGGTCAAAAGAAGCTCATGCTCTTAAACTGTTTTTAACTTATCATCATTCCTGCTCGACTACAGAGATGTTCAGAGTTTCTGTATAAATATTTAAGTGAACCAGTATAGATGTGCATAGAGCAGACAAGCATTAAATTCCTGTTTATAACTGGTGTACTGTCAGAGTATTTCAAAAGCCTTTCTATTGATTTAACTGCAATTGGGTTTTGTCTCTTCTTGCAGAAGTACTGACATCTTGTTATCTGTTATATGTTAAAGATCAATATTCACTCCCAAACTTGGCAGCAGCTTGCAGGTTTTTTCATGGTGAGACAAGGGGTCTGTGATATTCATTGCAAGAATAGGACAAAAGATGAAAGTCTAGTTTATGGTCTGTTTTGCAGCCATGTGGGAAGAAATACCATGTTCAGAATGAAACCAGAGAAAGGGGATGTGCAAATAGTGGGTGAGAAGAAGTCTAAAAATCAGGCAATTTGCTATCTTGGGACCGAGGCAATAATGCCTGAATGACTCAGTCCTACTCCAGATGTCTGTGAAATGGCTCACTATTTGAGCAGTATAGTCTGACTCACTTCCACGATGCCCAGCTCTCCTTAGTGTTTTTGTGCTATTGCTGTCTCTCAAGAAGTAAAACTGGAATCCTGCCAAAATCCCTGCAAAAAATGAGCATGGAATAGCTGATACTTTTTTCTCAGATAACACTGTGCTTTTTTTTTTTAACGTGTTTTAAGTGTTTTCAATTCTTTATCCAGCATTATGGGGCTGCTTGAGCAAAAATTATAAAATGCTTCTTGTGAGCTTCACAATTCCCTATGGATTGAGAAATCTGCTGTTTTGATGCCAGGCTTAAAAGTAGTATTGATTTTAGATGAAACTATTTTCTAGGTCCGGTGGTTGCTTTGGAGTTCAATGGAGATGGTGCTGTGGAAGGATGTCGAAGCACTATAAATGAAGTTTTTAGTGGGACCAGGGTAAGCTGACGTATTGCTTTATCGACAGAAAATATTACGGAATGTCTGAGCTACTTCATGGTCAAGATGTAGTGTTGACATACTAAAAAATCTTTTTAGGTTCATGAGTAGTAAAATCTGAATACCCTTTGGTGGTTGTTGTTGTTTTGGTTTTTTGTTATTTGTTGGTGGCAAGAAAATCTTGTCACTCCTAGGAAAGCAAGTTTTAAATCCCCTATCCATTGAAGAATAGACAATTTCCACTTAAAGTGACAAACCCTTTGCTTTCAGGCAGCTGTTCAGAGAACACTAGAATGTCTTTTAGACAAAGTGTCCATACAGCTCCTTGTTGTCTTTTGGTTCCTTTCAAAGACTTACTTGGAACTAGACTGCCCAGTTTCTGAAAAACAGTCTTCTTGTAGTAAGTCGTCTCATTCAATTTTTTGACTGAGGCTATTGCTTGCATGATAAACAGCTACAATGCTATCTTTTACACTGAACTGTTTGGGTATTGCCTAAGACAATTGTAGTTGATCTGCTGAAAGCTTTCAAAGGTGACTCTCCTGGAGCTTGGACTTCACATGCATTGATAAATTTTGAAAAATGCAAATGTAATTGAAGTTATTTCAAAAAAATAGTCATCTGCTGAAGAAGCAACTAAGTTTTTTTGAGAGGAATATAGCACAAGAAGTCTTTCTTACAAACTCTGCCTTTCTGTTAAAGGAAAGTGGTAGTCTAAGGATTTCGTGTATTTATTTTAATAAATACACTTCTCCTGGACAGAATTGACTTTACCAATCAAAATACATCTAAATGGACACTAGCTGAAGCTGTGACCCCTGAATAATCAAGCCTCAAACTTGTAATCAGTAGAAGGCAAGGGTTAATGCAGCTAGCATGTCTGCTAGGAAGAGGTGATGGTAACAAACCTCAGGGCTGAGAGAATTCTAGGACTGTTCTGTCATACAGTGGAAACCAACAGAGTTGTGCCCCTCATGAAATGCAAAACTAAAAATTAGCATTACTGATTCCAAATGAGCAACGACTGCTTTTAGTGATGCATAACTATTTTCTTGTTTAACAAAACAGGTTTTTGTATCGGAAAGCAAGGTATCAGCGTCTCAAGATGTAGACAATTTCTACAACTTTGCTGACATGCAGATGGGAATGTGAAGTTTAGCATGAAGGTGTCCACGTATGGTTTGTCTTGGCACTTGGATGTCACTTGGCTTGAATATTGAAGTAGTTTTGTCATTTGGTTTTGTATTTCTCGTATATCCTTTTTATAAAGCTACTGGTGGTTTTAATACCATATTACCTGAGCTGGAGTAAATGGCATAGCCCTCCATGTGCATTGTGTTTGAAACTTATGTTTCAACTCCAAAAACAATTGAGCTTTTCTACTAACTTTTTTACAGTGATTTCTAAACATCTGTCGACACTTGAATGTTTCTTGACAACATCTAGTGGTTACAAGTATTTAAAAGTGCAATGCTGATCAAAGTTTGATGCAGTAGTAATTGTTACCTTTAACTCAGACACATTGTTTAGAAAGTGCATTTATGTGAAACTTGACGCTCAAAACTTTCCCACATGCAAATTTGTCTTCACTGGGGGTCCAGGAAGGAAGCTGTAGTCATTGACTTTTTCTGAAAGCTTAGTCTGAAATGAATTGTCCTTATAGCACACTTTCAAAAATGGTTTTTGACTTTGGCTTACTCTGCTTCAGCATATTTTTTGAATAAAGTTGTTTGCAGCAGCATTTATGCCGAGCCTTGTCACAAAAGCATTCTGGTAAGTGAGCACTTGCCTGGCTTTTCTGCTTTGAGGTGAATTCTGAGCATGAGTGCTCTGCTGAAGCTATTCTAAGGTCCACTCAGGTTTTCTGGTGATACAGCTGCCTCTGGCATTCCCAAGTCACATATGAGATATACATGAGGTTCCCTTGGACTCAGAGCAATAGGTCTCTGGCACCATTGTTGCTTGCTAGAAGGGACACCCAGTAATCAGTAGTCAGAGAAGAGCTCTGATGGCATTTAAAAACCCCTTTTCTCTGCTATACCCCAGAAGGCTTTTATATTCAGCAGTACTAAAAATTGGCTGTAAAGTGCTACACACTGCTGTAGGGTTTATTTTATATTAATTCTAAAAACAGACCGAAGAAGTGCTACTAGCATTTTTTGAGATGCATTTGAATAGTCATCAGTAAGAATCCTTATTGCTAAACAGTGGATAGGAGAATGCAAATCTATATGGATATTAAATACATGATTGATTTATTTTTGCATATTACATCCTTATGGATTTTTCTACATGAACTTAAAGCTTACGTCCTGGTTTACAAGCCCTCTGTAATACTTGAACAGAGTGTGCATGCAGACACATAAAACCAAATTTCATAATCAAAATAGTGGCTTGTCAGTTTGCATAGCTTTTACAATTCAGTGAATGGATTTGGACTGTGTTGAGGTGCTAAACCATTTCCTCATTACGGTCATCTGTCAAAAGGGAAGATCTTGCACATCTTAACTGAAAATGAGTCCTGACTCATCATTTTCACAGCTCTGGAGCTCCACAGTGGGTGGCTAAAAACACGTCTAATTTTTTGGAATTGGCACATGAAAGAATCTGTTCTTCTGGAATTCATAATACTGTAATGCCGAAGAGAGGTCCTGAACTATCATTTTGTTGCTACTAGGCAAATGCTTGCTATTAAACTAGAAAATATGTCCTTAGGACTTCTTGTTACAGTTATGCATTGATTAAATAAGGAAGAATATCTCCTGAATAAACTAAACTAAACCAAGGTAAGAAAAATGCTACTTCTCTGAAATGTTTTTATTTGACAAAATGAAATAAAATCAAGCCACTACCAGAATCCAGCTGGTAGTAGAAATTGCCATTTATTTACACTTAGCCAGCCAGGATTAATTTATTTTTATTATATGTCTGAGGAGAGGCTGCGAAAAGAACTAGAAATTTTAGATTGATCTCTAAAGTACTAGCACAACTCATCAGTCAACATTTGCAAGAATTAATCTAGATACATACAGTAAATGTATTATTTTGGTATGGACAGTGCATTAAAATTTTGTAATGTACTAAAGAGCTGTCATTGTATAATTTATCTAAGCAGTGCAGATATTGGACTGTTCTAGTTTCTAAACTTTTACATATAATATTTCCAAAGTTATACCTTGACACATGATTATGTTTATAGTTTACTTTTTATATCATCATTGCTCTGGAAACAAAGTGCTAAATGGATTTTTGTGACTATTTTTACTGAAGGACAGGATGATTAATTGAAAATTAATCTAGGCTTGCAACAGTGGAAAAACTTGTCTATGTGCTAGGAAAGAGCACAGTGTTGCTTTTTTTTAAAATATTGATAGTCTGCTTATAAACATAAAGAATTGTTAATAAAAAACCCCTAAATAATGAAGGAGTTTCTCAATCCAATTATTTGTCTTTTGACTTCCATTTTTTGCTAACAGGTGTCAAGAACACTTTTATCCTAAGAGTCAGGTATTATATGCATTACAGAATGGTACGTGTTTCATGTAGTCTTTGTACATTTCATGTAGTCTTTGTACTTGTCATTTGTATAGCTTTTTATGTAATTTGTATTGCACTGTGAATGTGATTCATAATAAACATGGGAAATATCTAAACTCTGGATTGTGGAAGATTTTTTAAAATTATAGTATATTGTAAAACATAATGTAATTATATTAAGTATAAAAACTGATTTCCATGTTTCAGCGGGGACTTTAATTAGATACTTACAGCTTATTGAAAATAAACATGAACTCTGTAGTCAGCCATCCTCCAGAAAAGGTGATTTTTTGACAGCAAGGATTTTTCCTTAGTCACTGAGGACATGATTAACTGCACACTTCAGTTTTCCTAAGAAAATATAGAAGGTATTCATATATCAACCTGTACAGATACAAGTACAGATATTCCTGGATGGAGGCTGTTAAAGGACTTCTCCCTGATCTCTGTGTACATGTGGTGGTTTCTTTTTGTTTTGTTTCTTGGCTTTTTTTTAAAGTTGTAAAAGTTTTGTGCATTTTAAATGTTCTTACCTCTTTGGGTACTAGATGCATGCTAGTGATGTGGTCATAGCAAAAACAGATTGTGGTGGTTATACTAGTATAGTTGTTCATTTAGAAAGCAATTCCTTTGTATATCCCATGTAACATCTGAAAACAGGTAAACATTTAATAAATTTCCAAACTCAGCTTTAAACTGGTCAGAAATGAGAATCTTCCAAGTAGACATGGTCTAGGGCAACCCTCAGGAAGTTAAATGTTTGTAAAGAACATGAAGTACTGTATCAATATAATTTTCTTCTGAATATATTGAGTTAAATTGTGAAGCTTTAAAGAATCAAAGCTTTTGATTTACTTTTAGCTATTATTGTACAACTTTACCATTTAAAAAACCTCCTGTTACCCCAGTTGGATCCATGTTCCCTAGCAGTCTTTTTTATGTAGTGTCTAAGTCATAGCAAAGCTGCTCTTGAGTATTTTCACCATTTTTACCAATCACATCCTCAATTACTAACATGCAGAAACTTTGTATCTGTGCCCCAGTCTGTGTTAGAAGATCACCCACTTTTTTTTGGTCATATCCAATATACATGCATTTTATGCGTGATTTTAAAAGTAATCCACATACCAGGCTGCACTTTTGTAACTGGGACAGATTTTATTTTTTTTTCAATTCCAAAAAGCAGCCTAAAACTTTTTGCTACAAAATATGTGTATCAGTCATTTTGACTAATAAGGGTAACAAATGAGTTACACTGACTTAAGCATGAGTTAGAATTCTGTGGCTGCATATTTTCTTAAAGGATGTTTTCTAAGTGTTTAGGTTTACTCATGCAGAATTCAACTTTCTGCACAAATTTAAATTAGCATTGATGATAACATCTTCTAGAAGGTGTTGATTTCACAGGCTTTTTTCCTAAAGATTTAATGCAAATCATTGTGAAATTAATCTTTTTAAGACCTAGTAGCAGCCCAATTCCCTCCTGAGTAGTTCCTAAATTCTAGGTCTTTTGCTATCAAGTTCCACACTGACTTCTTTGCATCTTTGTGCCATTTGATTTTTGATTTAATAAGTAAGCCTTCTGAATCCATAAGGGTGACATAGGTCTTTGGAGGTCTGCAGGAACAGCTCTTCCAAGGCATGTTTAAATCTGATCCAAAGCATGTAAATTCTAGTCCAACAGTTTTAAAAGCTATGAATAAGTGCTGATTATAAGTATTGTCTCTAGCATGCGTAGATTTGAGTGGGATGGTGCAACTGGATGTAGCACTTCATTAAGCTGCATGCTGTAATACTGCATTTTGCTGCTGTATATGTTGGAAGGCAGCTGTCTCTGGTGGTCCATCCCTTTCCCTGGACATCGATTGCAGAGCTCGCAGTACAAGGTATAGTAATTTTCTGAGGATAACAATTTCTGAAACATAATTATTTGCTGTATTGCTGGCCTGGAAGTTTTTCTTAAAGCTATCAAGTCTGAGCTCTGTCTCTCACCACAGCCACTAAGTAGGGGGAAAACTTTGCAAGCATTGAACCTGGTAAAAGCACGATGTACAGGAAGATTAACTAAATGGTTGAGAGTCACGGTGTGTGTCCAATTCGATAGAAGAATGCCTGTTATTGCTTTCATGTCTTCAGAATGCCTGGACACGGTAAGACTGTTGCTGGTAGTGTTTGTGGTCACAGAGTCTTCCTGGTGCACATGTAGTCATCACTGCTTCTGAGTAAGAGAGAAGAAAAGGAGGGGGAAGTGAGAGAAGTTGTTAAAAAAGCTCTGAAGTTTTCTGAGTACATAAAGAAAAATGTTCAACTGCTCATTCCTTTTTTTTTTTTTTTTTTAATAATGCATCTAGTGATAATTCCCAGCTATGTACAATTTCATGGCCAGGGAGAGTATCTGAGTACTTTTCCAGAATGTATATTAAAAAATGTGACCAGCATCTGTCAGATAGAAGTCATCCCCTTTCTGGAGGATTGCTCAAGGCTTTAGAATTGCCAGTGCTGCAAGAGTCTAAGAGATTTTTGAAATACGTGGGGATTTCACTCTTATGCTTTTGCTAAAACAGCTGTTTTAAAGTTTGTCCTTAAAACATAAGGTAAAGTTGATAGATAGGAAATTACAATGAGGTTAAGAGGCTCTTGGACAGTGTTTAAATGTGTGTTTGTCTGATGTTCCGAAACTGCAAAGGCTAAAAGCAATGCACTGTTAAAAATTCTGTCCAAATGATGAGGCTAAATTTAAGGCTAGGCATCTCTGGAGTAGTAAGATCTCAAAGGACTCTGTGTCTGGATGATAGTGGTATGTGTCTCTCTCCTTTTCCAACTCCATTTTATCACAAGTATTGTGGTAATGAAATCCCAGTTCATAGTCATGTGGGAATCCACACTTTCGCTTTTTCAGGAATGAGGAAAGGTGGAGTGACCATGGAGCTGTGATTTCTGGGCACTGAAGGGAGCAGCAGCCCTACTCCTCCTTACTTATGTGGATGCTGTCTGTTGTATGAGAGATTTCCCCCAAACTGCATGTACGGAACCATAGAGGCAACAAACTTTCCAGGTCTTTTAGGCAAGATACACGGTTTTTTCCTCACTAATACAAGCATAAGATGTATTCTCTGATTCTTTTTTTTTTTTAGGTACTTCCTTCCATGCATTTAAGGTACAGAGCTATAATACTAATCTGTTCTGAAAGTTACTGGCAGCCCTCTCCATTCTGTGCTACTGTCTTAGAAGGAGAAAGATAAATCAAAGATCTCCCTAAGCACAAAACTTTGAACTTGTCAGATCCTGGGAAGTGAAGCTGGCACATTTTGCTTTTAAGAGTGTAAATGGCTCATGATTGTGGAAGTACATTTTTTTTTTGGTCTGAATGTGCTGATCTTTTTAAGAAGGGAGACCTTCCCCTCCATTTCTGAAGTACCTCCATAAAAAAACCCAAAAAACCACTTCAGAGGCTTCTTTTTAAAGGGTCCTGGAGATTAAATGGAAGGGCTGTGCTATGACCTGAGGGCATCTTTTGATAGCTGCCCCAACAGGTGCTAAAGGACTGGATTCAGTGTTAAAGACAATCTTCTGAAGCTCTGAGTGCTCTTTTCTTCTATTTCTAATAGTGAGTAAAGTTTTTAGTCGTTATTTGAGATTCTGTTTTGCATTTTTTTCTGCAGAAGAATGAAAGTTTCTCCGCAGTGATAATTAGTGCTCTCATTTGCAGGTGTGTGTGTGCTTTATGGTAACACTTCAATAATTTTGCTCACTGCGAAAGGAAAATAAGGGAGGTAAGCTTTCCTGTCTCTTGCCAGTAGCTGCCAATGCTTGCTATGGTTTCAAGAACGTTGTATTAAGGTTTCCTCAGTGGTATCTGCTCTGCTGATGACGTTTTATGCAGCAGCTACACATTTCAAAGAAAGGTGGTATGCCAGGGTTTGGTCTCTGTGTATTTTATTAGAGTCAACTAGAATTGCTGGCCGTGGACGCTTCTACATACAGGCTGGGAACACCACAAAGACTTGAAGGTAAGGCGTGTGAATTAACCTCCTAGGCCTTTGCAGTGCTTATTTCCCCCTTCTACTCCTTTCTGATACTACAGTGTATTTGTTGTCCTTTGCTTTTCTGGCATCTGATCATTGATAGCAGTAGTAGTGCAAAAAAATACTTTTGTTGTTGTTGTTGTTGAAATCCACTGAAATACTTCTAGATATTTCAGTTAGAGATGCTTCTTTTGTGGCTCAGATCCATGTTAAACTCTGCATGACCCTACTTCACAAATGTTAAACGCTACTTCAATGTAACTTTCTTAATATCCTAACATACCACGGGCAGTTTTTGTACAGCTGAATAAGGACTTGGTTCGGCTTGGGTATGGTGTACATGTATATATTATTTTACCCTGATCATACCTCTTCTAGTTTCCAGAGCTTTCTACCCTTGGGAAGACTTCCTGTTTGTGCTATAATTTATCAACATGTTAACATCTGGCTTTGTAAATTCCTTATATTCCTTATATTCTCCAGGTGCATAAGAGCATCTGTAGTTCATCCTTTTGGGAGCAAATGTGGAAACTGTGTTGCATATGTCTTTAAAAAGAACAAAAGTGTACAATCTGCTTCCTATTTATTCATGTTGCTTGGTGATCCTATAGAAATGCACAGTAAAAGTAAAGCATTTATTGAAATTTGTAGCCCCACAGACTTCCTGCCATAGACTTTCCTATGTCACTTATCTTTTGGCTATGAGCCCACCATGTAAAGCTGTGGATTTACTATAGAATTAGAAGTTTGGGTGTCATCATCTCCTGACATGTGACAGCCAGTGCAGGGAGGTGTGTGTGATCCCAGGCATGGGAAATGAAGATAGCTGCTAAACACCTTCCCTGGGTTGGGCTGTGTCTGCTCCTGATGAGGTCATTCATATATAAAGTAATCTGGCAGGAAGCATCTCATAGGAATGTTTCCTTCACTGATGGGAATATACATTCTTTATTGTCCTTCAGAATCATGGAGACTTTAAACACCATATGTTTCATGGACACACAAAAAATAGAAATTGTTTTAAAATCTGAATGAAGATACTGATACTTGAAAATGGTTTTTGCTTAGTTTAAATCAATTGGACTTTATTC